AAACTATAAACATATTAATCTCTAAACTATAAACATATTAATCTCTATAAACATATTAATCTCTAAACCTAATGCGGTGGTCGACCCCCCCACTGTTTTTAAGTTTCGTTTTTGACGTGCCGCACGTTTCTTTCACTTTTGCAGCTTAATAATAAAAACTAATAGTTTAGTTTTTCCTGGCTTGTTTTCAATATGATAAATGGGCGGAGCATAATATACTCTCCCAATGTTTTGTTGGTCTTTTTTTTTGTAAATAATAAATTGCTTTTTTTGGCAGTTTTATTTATTTATTTATTTTTTGCATCTTGAGATCCTATGACATCATCAACTACTCTAGTTCTTCTCGAGTTTTATTAAGTTAATGTCGAGTTTAAAAGTCGTGTAGTCGTTCAGCCCGTGTCTCGATATGAACGGTTCCTGCGCTCCGTAATTTTCTCTGACTTGGGGAAGAATCCACGAACGTCACGTTGTTCTCGATGCGTTTTCTTTGGCTGTGTCCGCTGGAAGCAAATTCAAGAAACACGTTTGAGGGAGTCTCCAGGGAGGGAGTGGTGGTGCAGAGGTTAGAGAAGGTGGGCCTGTGATTGGAAGGTCGCTGGTTCGACTCCCCAGACTGATAACATCAAAATGTGGGTGGAAACGGTGAAACACACCTGCCTTCATCCACCCTCATATTCCCCGCTCTGAGCCCTTGAGCAAGGCCCTTAACCCCCATCATCTGCTCCCCGGGGCGCCCTATAGCAGCTCTCTGCTCCACACAGAGGTGTGGTAGCTCGGTGGTCTGTGGTTGTGGCAGGAAGGACAAGAAGGAGCAGCTGAAAGAAGAAAAATATTTGAGGGAGTCTTTAATGTTTTTCAGATCCATCACGAGTTGCGATGTTGAACTTCCAAAAATGAGCGCAACAAGCTTATTAATTAATTAATTAATTATTTTTCAGAAGTAGCCACAGAGCTGTTGCAAACATTTTAAATCCAGTTAATTTTAGATTTCTTCGTTCTAGAGCAGCAGAGCTGTATTCTCCTGCACGAGTCCTCAGACACACCATGTCAGACTCACCGGTCGATGTGGTAGTTCAGAGTTATCCCCAGCACATTCTCCGAGCACGGACACATCTGCAGCATTGTGAGGTTGTGCATCATTTTCAAGGTTTGATTAAAATGGCGGTCATTTCTCAACATTAGCTGATCTTAGTCTAAAACTTTGGCATGAAGGATGGCGGGCAATATGCATTCCCTCAAGGAATGCTACACCTTTAAATGTTCTCATTTACTGCACGTGTCTCTGCAAAGAAAGCTGCATTTGGTCACATCATTATTAACCTTATTAACCGTATTAACAGTATTAACTGTATTAACCGTGTTAACAGTGTTAACCGTATTAACAGTATTAACCGTATTAACAGTATTAACCATATTAACAGTATTAACCGTATCAACAGTATTAACCATATTAACCGTATTAACTGTATTAACAGTATTAACCATATTAACCGTATTAACTGTATTAACAGT